GTCTTTAATATCACTACCTTGCATCAAGTCTGTAATATCACTACCTTGTATCAAGTCTGTAATATCACTACCTTGCATCAAGTCTGTAATATCACTACCTTGCATCAAGTCTGTAATATCACGTCTTTAATATCACTACCTTGCATCAAGTCTGTAATATCACTACCTTGTATCAAGTCTGTAATATCACTACCTTGCATCAAGTCTGTAATATCACTACCTTGCATCAAGTCTGTAATATCACTACCTTGCATCAAGTCTGTAATATCACTACCTTGCATCAAGTCTGTAATATCACTACCTTGTATCAAGTCTGTAATATCACTACCTTGCATCAAGTCTGTAATATCACTACCTTGCATCAAGTCTGTAATACCCCCCCCCCCTACCTCTTTCTTCTCCTTTTAAGTTCATACAGCAATGTTGGTACTTGTCTGGCACCAGTACAGCCAAGTGGATGACCAAGTGCAATAGCGCCCCCATTAGGGTTGACCTTCTCCATGGGTATTCCAAGCTTCTGGACACAGTAAGTAGCCTAACAGAAACTAAAAGTTACTAGATTGCTTTCTGTGGCATTTCAGTGATTATCAAGCATTCATAAACATCTTTTTGCCAATTCAATAGTGACTATACATACCTGACTTGCAAATGCTTCATTAATTTCAAAGACATCAATATCATTAATTGTCAGGCCTAAAATAAACAAAGTTTTATTCTAAATGCCAGTGTTCATGCAGAGGTTCTTTGAATTTCACGTAAACAAACGCATGTATTTCACGTGTATTCGCTGCAAGAAACCCACAGCGTCTGATGACTGGCACTTTAAATATTGTCGTAAACCACTGAGTTTTACGGCTAAAGCGATTTTAATACAAGATGACTGAAAAACCTCTTGATACAAATATTGTGTTTAATACACTTTATGAACAAGAACAAGCATATGAACAAGTTTTGTCATTTCTTAGTAGTATACAATGTATTTTTCGAGCAGAGACAGAAAACTACAAACACAGGTAAGAAAAGATTTGTACAGGTTAGACGGGTACAATATATTAATAGTTCCAATTCATAATTTTAACAGTTGAAATACCGGTAATGATATGCATTGACTGTATCCACCCACACTTGCATGTCAAGATCGACCCAAACTGAATTCTAAATTTATATACCTGCTTTCTCTAGAGCCTTTGGAATGGCTTCTGCAGGGCCAATTCCCATGACCCTTGGCGGTACTCCAGCCACGGCATATGATATAATTCGGCCTAATACTGGTAAGCGTAACCTTTCAGCTAGTGATCTCTTCATCAATAATACAGCAGCTGCACCATCACTCACTTGACTAGAATTACCTGATTAAGATGATACAGATTGTATGAATACACAATATATCCATCTTGTTTTCAATCACTTGGAAACAAGTCATTCTTCATAGGTTTAATAATATAGAGCACTGCCCTTATTTCAAACAAGCTATATTCATTTTGGTTCATGCAGTATCAATGGACTGTACACCAGACCATTCTGGTACTGCACTGAAATATTCTGGACCAATACATTACTGAACCATTCTAAACTAGCACCACCATTTTTGATCAGTACAAGTCTGTGAAATCCAAATGCAAACAAAAATGTACTCACAAATAAAATACTTTGCTGCACAAACTGTGTTGTTCAATCTAGTTCATGATAATGCACAAAACTAATCCAACCCAGGTTGACATATTTTTCAAAGGACCATTATCCCTTATCCTGCCAGCCCTGTGTACATGTACACTTATATTTACTTGACCAGATAAGGGATATGGTTACTTAAAAGTGTGCAAAGTACACCAAAATTTAAAAGTCAATCTCAATCTTTTGGGTCATAATAATAAAACACGGTACCTGCAGTGGTAGTTCCATCTTTTTTAAAAGCTGGTCTGAGTTTTGTAAGTCCTGCCATTGTGGTATCTCTAATTCCCTCGTCCTGTGACACCTATAAACAGAGATGTATCCAATTGTGAAATAAACTTAGCCATGTCTAATACAATTCATGTAGGAGAAGTGAATGGAACTCACAAATTGATCGACAAAGAATATTTAAACTTAATACCGATAGATGGCTTTCCGAACTTGCTGGTTTACCCTTATTTATCGTATATTTCAGCAGATAATGACAACACCATCAAATTCAATTTTTAATAACAAGATTGAAAAAAATATAGTTTTTGTTTTCTATATTTAACATCCAATCACATAACAGGCATATTTGTTATAGGTATGCATCATGTCAGTGAGTTACAACATGAAAGCCTGTGCTAAATGTAGTTTTTCTTTGAATGGGAAATGTTCTTGGTGATGTTAGTTTCAATCACAAGTAAATCAATGAAGTTTAACCTTGTACACAGTGATCAATTTGGTGATGTCAATATCGTAATAAACATGTCAAATGTGTCACATGACCTCATTTTACTTACAGTGACTTCATGAGAATCACCATCTTTGTCAAGAACCGTAGTAGTCACTGGAACAATTTCTTCTTTGAAATTCCCAAGGTCCCTTGCTCTCTTTGCTCTGAATAGATAGGAAATTAAAACTAATAATCACCAAACTTAAAAACACCACACCACAGTACCCCGATATTATTGATTCCTTGTTGCGAATACAATGCATCTTTTTTTTACAAGAGAGCTTGATGGCAAGTCTCTTTGAACAAAATCGGTCCAGCTACAGGAGGTTACAGTTTAAGTAACTTGTATATTTTATTGGAGTCTGATAAGCTGGGATATTGCTTTTTTCTCAATAATTATATAACATATTTGATATATTTATATTTTTTTATTAGACGCATAAAATCCTTAGGAAAGGATAAAAAGGGTCTTACTGAAAGATATGATTTTTTTTGTACATTTAAGTGCCTCAGGGAAAGTGGATAGAAATTTGTTCATAAGAAGTTGCAATGAATTGCCCAAAAACAATTACCCGGTAACAGTGATTTTCGCTTCATAAATGACAACTTCTTCTCTAAAACGTTTTGTTTTGTCAATTTAATGACTGTATGTACATGTACATCCAATTTTCCCATTTCAGCAAAACTGTTGTCTAATTTTTTGGTAGAAAGTGATATCTTTTGAAGACTATAAGCCAAACTGTTTTTATATACCGGTATATTATGTACATGTAAACCATGGGACTCATTTAAAGAAAATAAGCATTTTTACTCTGACAAATAATTCTCTATTCCATGTGCCTCAGGTGAGTAGCAAAAGAGTATTTGTCGTTGACATATTTAAACCATCTTTTCTTATTAACAGTACATTAGCTGGGAACAACTAGGTCCCATTTTTAGTAGCCACTTACTTCGTCTGTGACTCATACCCCATCTTGTCCTGCATTTCACGTGTTATGCCATACTGTTCAGCGACATTCTCAGACGTAATTCTGTAAACAAACATACAATCAATACACAGAAAAGATAAATGACAATCTGGGAACTTAGAGTATTTTACACAATGTAACTTTTTGAATAAATGGCATGTAACCAGTATCAAGACAACTCTAAGGTATGCACAGCAAATAAGTCAGCAAGCAAGTTACTTATGTTGATGTCTCGTTGAATAAAATATTATGGAAGTGACAATAAGCATTTGATCCTTTTAACACTCAAATCTATGCTGCCATCCATTGCAAAACAAAAATAAATAAAAACATTTTTCCCCAAAAATGTTAATCATAGTAATAGGAATTTTGTACAAAATTTGTGGAAGTGTTTACTGACTAAGAGAAATTTTGTTTTATTTAGTAACTTAAAGTCAGTTTTAATTTTAATCTTTATTTATTTGAAAATGATGAGATTACGACCAAAACAAGATTCAATGAATGAATGAATGAATGAATGAATGAATGAATGAATGAATGAATGAAAAACCTTAGAATTTTATTACTACTGCAAGTGGTGAGATTTAAATCCATGCATTTCATGACAAGCAATTATCACTTTCTTGAACCACAACCCCCATGCATCTACTCAATCACTAAACCAGATTCACTATAATATGATTTCAGTTCATGTAATTACATACTGTAAAACTATTCTCAATAAAAGTGATTATTAGACAAATATTAAATGATAAGAAGCTGATCTGGGGATTTCAATTACATACTGTGGAATACTTTATTTTCGCTGGAATTAATTTTCACTGAAAAGGCTTTTTGGGCGTTTACTTGGAAATTATTTTCACTGATTTTGGATGAGTTTAATGTGAAAATATAGGAAAAAAAGTATATTCGCTGGATTTTATTTTCACGGAATCATCCCTTCAGCGAAAATAGCGAAAATAAATTCCAAGCGAAAATAAAGTATTCTACAGTACTATGATTACTTGTAAACATGATATCACATGATTTATATATAACCCCCTAAACATTTGGTACCAAGTAACATCAGGATATATGTAAATTTATCATTTATAATTATATATGCAAAAAGTGATAATTAAAGCAATCAATTAAAAGGTGTATGCTACATACCCCATAGGTATCATGCAGTCACGTGCCTTGTCAAACTCAAACGACTTCGGATTGATATTAGTATCGCTGCCTTGTTTATATACAGACATAGATTCCATCCTACCATAACAGAATAAAACATTAATTGTGAGTAATTAATTCTTCTCTTGTTCTGCTAATTTATATTTGTTCAATTTTACGATTTTTTGAATTCCATGCAGTTGTAAATATTATCATGCTTTATATTATCAGGAATGATGTGTCAGCAACGTAAATTTTGTATTTCTGAACAATTTTACTAAAACTACACATGACACAAATTCATTTTTTAGATATAAGGCAGATCAATAAAATCATTAAAATAATATCTGAAAATGCACATTATGAAAATATCAATAAACACAGCCATATCATAAACATGCTTACCCGCAACCCAAGCCAGCATCGTATAAACCCGCTTTGATACCCGCAGCAATGTTCATAACAGCCTGCAGACCAGATGAACACATTCTATTAACACCATGTAATGGTACTGTCTCTGGTAACCCACTGCAAGATGATAAAAAACAAAAGATTACACACAAATTATGTCACCTACAGAGGGCGCCAACATCACTTACTGGTATATATACACCACATAATCATTTTTATGATTACCATGCACAGACCATTCAATAATTTTTCATATCATAATCGTGCTCGACTATAAATTTTAGTAAACAGATAAACATTTCCTATTTTAATATTACATTGGAGTATGCACTTTTAAACTTGTTTTAGATATATATCCAGTTACTTGCTTTGTCACTGTTGAAATTCAAAGTGAAAAAATAAGCGAATCATACGTGTGAGATTTGACAAATTTGTCATGACTGTAGTGTCATATTTATCATTCAGCTGAAAGCTAACATTATTTAGGTGATTTGTTTGCAGAAAATGACATACTGTAAAAGGGTTAATTATTCACTGGGTTTTAATTTTGCTTATTTTGCTGACTGGGAAATGCGCTAAATTAAAACCCAGTGAAAATGTAAAATTTAGCATAGAACACATTATCTAAATGATAATACCGTGAATTTAAAACCCACTAAGTATGCCTAAAATGGTAAATCAGCGAAATTTAAACCCAGTGAAAATTAGTCATTTTACAGTAATGTAAGGATATAAGCAAAAGAACGCTGGAAAACTCACTCCTCTTTTTATGTTTTAATCTCATGCATACTGTGAGAATCCAAAACAGCAGAAAGAGAGTAATACTGTAAAATACTTCATTTTAGCTGAAATTAATTTTCACTGATTTTTGATGAATTGAATGTAAAATATATGAAAAAAGAAATATACACTAGATTTTATTTTTACTGAATTTACAGTAATTGGAACATATAAAACAACAGCATCTCTAAAACATTACTTATTAAAAAATGAAAAATGCAATAATTGAGGTATAGTTGCCACTGACTGTGGTTTTACTCGTATATGGCTTAATGCACCCACATTACATGACACTGATTGTAAATACATTACATCTACTTGCTGCACAAAACATTAAAGCGAGAGGGTCGTCACCTTCGCATGCGCGGGAATTGAGTCCCAAACGACGATAACAACACACGCTTAAAACGCAAAGGCTTATGGGTAGACGCTTGTTTGTAAACAATGACACGCTATGGCCATCTGACGCATGCGCAGGTTACGACTCCCCCGCTTTAACATACAAAATACTAATATTCATTTATATATACACAAAATAATATGGTGGTAATAAGTACAGTTCGCATAAGTAGCCGTGCTGTTTCAAATTTAACAGCCACACTAAGACCCAAACACAGGTAACTAGCCTGTCAGGTCAATGTTAATTATTCGAAAAAAAAAATAGAAAAGGTGTATTCCAGGTGTTGCACTATTACATTCATTGAGTCTCAACAGTTGAAGGAGTTTAGATAGGTCATGATGAAATCATATTTCAACAAACAAATCATAGAAACAGGAAATTCTTTTGTGGACATGACACTGCACACATTTCCTCTGTACGCAGTTATTTCGTTTGTGACCAAAACAAAATTATGCCTGATACTTGACGTATAATTAGTAAAAATCACCGAGACGCACTTACTTCTTCATTCATGAAATGAGATAGAGATCCCATTCAGAAATGTGCGCTGCAAACAATGACCCAATAAGACGAGGCATGCCACATATTATTTCCGGGTTAAAGATTGTGACGCCTTAACTTTGTGTCCAATGTTTAGCTCCCTAGAAAATTTCTATTGCCATCGATTTTTGTTAGCACTACCAATATTTTCAGCGCTCTTGAATGCAAGTTTAGCTGGAGCCATTACCAATGAAGCGTAGCATGTTTGATACATTTTAACTCATTCTATAACAAGGAAAATTTAGTGTGTCTTAATGAATTTAGCGTTGACCGAGTATAAAATTAGTACCCAAATGAGTTTTAGCGGGTACGAAAGGAAATTAGCATGCTCGATTTAATCTAGCCATTTTTGAAACACTTGGACGACCATAGAACCAATTAAATCAATGACTACACTGAATGATATCTCTTATGTATTCAACTCACCATCTAAACTGAGCCATTCTAGCCATTGCAGCCCCAGACCCCTCTGCCAATACATTGCCAACAGCTATATCTCCTATGTATTTGGGATCTATTCCAGTTTCTTTCAAGACCCTGGTGATGACAGCTTCCAGCAGAGCATCAGGAACAGTATCCTATTAGAAAATCACAAATAGTAACCAGCAATGGTTGTTAATCAGTTTAGTGTTCACAAATATATTCTAAAAGGAATAAAATGCAAATGTTGATTTCATTTTTGATGTACATGAACCAAGGGTAATAGATCAATCAATAATTCCATCTGATTCAAAAGATTTGAAAAAATGGTAATGTAAGTGCATCAGTTATACTGGTTTTCAGATTACTTGATATTAGTAGAATAATAATTAATAGAATAAGACTTAATAAACATGCAAACAAAATGGATACTGCACCATTTTATCTATATTTATTCTTCACTGATTTGACACGTACTGGATAGTTATAATTAGCGGCATACATGAGAGTCATAAAGAATTGTTAACAGTGCTGACACTGACAAGAGAATGATTGTACTCCCCCTTACGACAGTGTGCACATTTGTGTTCCGCTATGATGACAAATTTCGCTAATTTCTACTATAAAATAGAAGGGGTATGACACAGAGCATTCTATTTTTCGGTCACAACATGAAATTTATGATATTCACGATCGGGAACAAAATAACCAAATCTTCATTATTTTAGTGTAATTTTTAAGTGCTGGTTTAAAAAATCATTAGGAGACACAGAAATAAACTGAATTTGTCAGGTAGTATGTACTTACAAATCTTTGCTTGATCTAGCCTATTCCCCAGTGTACACACCCTGACGTTGGCGGTACAAACATTGTTCAAAATAAATTAGTTTTTGATGTTGTACATATTGCCAACAGCTATATGTTTTTAAATATTTTAACATGGTGTGTACCTTGTAAGAAATGGTAAGTGAGTATAGAATTAAACACAATATGTCAAAACACTGAGGAATGGCTATTTAATTGGTGGAT